AGCTACTGAAACATGGAGTGTTCTTCATTTCTCACAGGACTGAACAGACTCAAAGTCAAAGGCTACGTATTAAAGAGACGCAGCGGTTGAAGTAAAAGTCTTTGTCAAACAGCTCGGGGATTTAGAGTTTGTCTGGGGTGGACTGCAGCTTTAAAGAGGTGAATATGTCCTGATGCTTGGAGTGAAATTGTTGTTGTTTCAGGTTTGGAGGAGCTAGTTCTGTCAGAGATCAACAGTCCCAGTCGAACTCAGCAGACCGGAGACTCGTCCTCCGTGTCCTCCTTCTCCTACAAAGACATGATGAAGGAGTCTCAGTCGACCAATCAGAATAAGGTGGGTGGAGCTCCTCGCACAGTCACCTTAAACACAGAGCTTGACGTCTGTGACACTTCAGGCTTCGGTGTAGACATTATTCCAGCCAGCACACTCAGCTCCAACTTACAGAGGAGGCAGTGGTTTCCAGTTTGTGTGATCATGGTGTGTTTGAATGGCTGCCATGCACTCATCTGTTCTCTCTGTTGACTGGTGTTTGGACCTCGTCTGGTTCAATATCTCGTTATTATTTATCTATTTTTGATTGTACTGATGGTGGTTTATGGCTGAAATGTGATCAACATCATGAATCTCAAAATCCAAACACAAACATGAACATCTGAGAATATGTCCTGTCAGCCTGGAGTCAGCAGCTGCTTGAGCCAGAATGGCGTTCTGGCTGGACGCCTGAAAATGCTGAAAACGTCCCATCAGTACTTCATACATGACCAGCAGCAGCAGCTGGATCTTCTTCAGGATGTGGAGATTCCTGTTCTGGATTCAGCCGTGAGCGAGATCACAGATCGACTGATTGAGGAAACACTGAAAGGAAAATTTTCTGATGGGCCTTTTAATGCTGCAGCTGCAGTTTGCTGATGTTACTTTGTGACAGATTTACGCATCATTAAAGGCTTTACTGGATACGACTTCTCTGCTGTTCAGCTGCTGGAGCACACATCGAGTGCTTACACAAAACCTCAGGCAAAGGTTGAAGAAATCTCAATTTCAGATGAAGGTTTAATTGAAGTGCTACGTTGTGTCTGCAGCTACAAACTAATGCTGTTGGAAGGACACA